TGTCACACATGGCCGGGGTCACATGGGTGATGTCACCGGGTGACCCCACCCCTTACATATTTAAGAACTGTTTTTTTTTTTTTTACTTTTATCAGGGGCTGTGGTGGTGGGCATCATGATTGATGTTGGATCTACTTCGAGGGACATTCTTTTATTTTCCTTCTTTTAGTAAAGGACTGTCTCCTGTCTTTTTTTCACACTACACTTTTTTTTGTGAATGAGTAGCGGTACCATGTACCCCATACTCATTCACATGGGAGGGGGGGGGGGATCTGGGGGCCCCCTTGCTAAAGGGGGCTTTCAGATTCCGATAAGCCCCCTTCCCGCAGACCACCACAGGGGGGAAGGGAACCCCTCTCCCCAAAGCACCCCCGCCATGTTCAGGGCATGTGGCCTGTGATGGTTTAGGAGGGGGTGGGGGCCTCGTTTGTTCCTCCCCTTTCCTGACCTGCCGGGCTACATACAATCTGTTGACATCCGTTTTTTGGCCTTTCCGGGTATTTTTTGCGGAAAAAATATAGGGTTTTCTTCTGTTCAAAAAAACGATGTTAATGGAGCAGACATTAACAGATGTAAAAAGATGTTCATCCGTTTTCACCCGCAAGTCCATAGAAATACATGGGGGTCCGTTTTTCATCCATAAACGGACAGATGAAAAACGGACATATGGAACGCCCGTGTGAAAGGACCCTAACAGTGATGAATAGTACTAACAATCATAAACATCCCATAAACACAAAGGCCATAAAGTACACTCAGTGGTGTCTATAAGTGAAACTGTGAGTATCCTCTTCTTTCCAATATTTGGTGCACCACCACCACACCAGGTGAAAGAGCTGCTCACCTCAAAGATGAATAATATACGCTCATCTGGATATTCTCAGCCTCTTCCAATTCAGATCAAAGTCTTCCTGCTAACTTCTCTCGCCCTCCTTTTGCTCAGACATCCAGCAGGGATGGTCTCATGTAACAAAAAGGCCAACACATAATTTTCTCCGTATAACACTTTATGCTTTCCCCCACTAAAATCACACTTACAGAAATAAAAACAAAAATCAGTCCACATCCAGCTCACTGCTCCGCTAGCGAGATGGTGGCGGCATGACTTCACAGGCTCGGCTGCTCTCTTCTAGGCACGTTGCGCCCCCTCTCAGGGCTTCCTCAGTAGGCCCTATGTGAAAGCATTTTTACATTGACAAGTTCTCTATTAGAACCCTGATGTCTCCCATGCACTCCAGTACAGCTAATGGAACACAGATTATGCTTCATTAGCTGCTTGTTTGGCCAACTCTGGCGAGGAATGACAGTTCTGAACCAGAAAGTGATGTACCACACATTGCTTTCTGGTCCATTGATAAGAGGGAAACTCAGCAAGTGTATATTCTCTAAGATACCTCCGTTCTACTCAACAACACAGGCCATTTTCGTCCTGAGCTTGCAGGTGGATCTGCGAAGCCACGGAAACATGGGGGGCAGGTGTGCAATCTATTCCACTGCCTGTGGAAGTGAATGAGTAGTGTTACAGCCACCCCAAATCGCATACAGGAGAAAGCCGACAGTTGGCTTGTAACACATGCATTGCATGTATAAAATCTGCTACAATTTAAGCCTTATGTTGGTGGCAGTGAAAGGGTTAAAGCTGAACTCTGGGTGCAAGTAGCCACAAAGGATTTAAATCCACTTGTGTGCTAAGTGCATTTGCAAAGCCAGTTATTACCCTTTAAAAGTGTCGGAAACATCACCACAGTACTGTACATGTAATAAAGACTAGTCACTGCTGCTCTGTCTGCTTCTGCAGAGTGACTGATCTCTGCCCCCTCTCCTTCAGCTTTTTGCAGGCAGCCTGTAGTGTTTGGAGCTGCTGAGTCCCTCCTACAGCTTTTGCTGTCTGCGCAGTGATGTCAATGCTACTTTTACAAGGGTTATATCTGGGTTTGTAAAGGAGTTTGGGGCAGAGAAAATGGAGTTATATCATTTGTGATTAAATGAAAGTTTTTATGCCTGAAGCTCAGCTTTAAAGAATTGTGCTGAGCTCCTCTCTATAAAATACATTTTATAAAACATCAGTATGTTGTCACTTTACCCATCTGGATGGTGCTCTCACCTCTTCAGCACAGCCCGCGCCACGGTCATTCAATGTGACACCAGCCCAAATACACCACGGATCATTTGTGCCTCTGCTTGCATCCACTACGGTATTGATTTTCCTTGCTTGCTCCGGTGTTGCAGGGTATAAAGATCTCGCTGAGCTCAGACTTTCACTTACTCCACTACAATAACTTTGATTCCTGGCAGTAGTTAAAGGTTGCTTTCCAGATTTAGCACTTGCTATTGTAGCACAGCTAATCAGTCTTTGTTTCATTCACTTAGGCCACAGAAATACAGTTGTGTTCAAAATAATAGCAGTGTGTTGAAAAAAGTGAATAAAGCTCAAAATCCTTCTAACAGCTTTTATTTCCATACACACAAATGCATTGGGAACACTACACATTCTATTCCAAATCAAAACATGAAGAAAAGTATATCAAATTTGTGTTGTTCCTCTAAAAAAAATTGAAGAAAAGTGAATATTAGACTGTTCAAAAAAAATAGCAGTGTTTGTATTCTTTACAAACTCAAACATTCACTATATAAACTGAAAAATGTTTGAAGATTTTGCTTTCCTTTGAATCACTTAATGAATATTTAGTTGTATAAGCACTGTTTCTGAGAACTGCTGTACATCTGTGTTGCATGGAGTCAACCAACTTCTGGCACCTGTGAACAGGTATTCCAGCCCAGGATGATTGGACTACATTCCACAGTTCTTCTCTATTTCTTGGTTTTGTCTCAGAAACTGCATTTTTGATGTCACCCCACAAGTTTTCTATTGGATTAAGATCCGGGATTGGGCTGGCCACTCCATAACGTCAATCTTGTTGGTCTGGAACCAAGATGTTGCACGTTTACTGGTGTGTTTGGGGTCGTTGTCTTGTTGGAACACCCATTTCAAGGGCATTTCCTCTTCAGCATGACGTCTTCAAGCACTCTGATGTATTCAAACTGATCCATGATCCCTGGTATGCGATAAATAGGCCCAAAACCGTAGTATGAGAAACATCCCCATATCATGATGCTTGCACAACCATGCTTCACTGTCTTCACAGTGTACTGTGGCTTGAATTCAGTGTTTGGGGGTCGTCTGACAAACTGTCTCCGGCCACTAGACCCAAAAAGAACAATCTTCCTTTCATCAGTCCACAAAATGATGCGCCATTTGTCTTTAGGCCAGTCAATGTGCTCTTTGGCAAATTGTAACCTCTTCAGCACGTCTTTTTTTTCAACAGTGGAACTTTGCGGGGGCTTCTTGCAGATAGCTTGGCTTCACATAGGCGTCTTCTAATTGTAACAGTACTCACAGGGAACTTTACACCTTCTTTGATCTTCCTGGAGCCGATTGTTGGCTGAGTCCTTGCCATTTTGGCTATTCTTCTATCCATTCGAATGGTAGTTTTTTGCTTTCTTCTACGTCTCTCAGGTTTTGGTTGCCATTTTAAAGCATTTGCGATCATTTTGGCTGAGCAGCCTATCATTTTCTGCACTTCTTTATATGTTTTCCCCTCTCCAATCAACCTTTTAATCAAGGTCCGCTGTTCTTCTGAACAATGTCTGGAACGACCCATTTTCCTCAGAATTTCAGAGAGAAATGCACTGTAACCAGCATGTACAACATTTGCTGCCTTCCTTCCTTTAAATAAGGGCAATAATTGCCACCTGTTTTTCAAAGAATGAATGACCTCACTAATAGAACTCCACACTGCTATTATTTTGAACATGCCCCTTTCAATTAGTGATTCAATTACACAGAATCAGCAGCATGCATGTCATGACTGTCGGGTCTGTTGGATTTCTATTACTCTACTACACCTGCTAGTAAATTATTTGCCATGTAGAAATATCATTTCTACCAAAAACAGTGATTGATCAGGTTAGTGATGTCTGACTGCTATTAGTTTGAACACAACTGTACTTCTGTTTTGGCTTTGTAAGTGCACCTGTTACCTCAATACCGCTGTAAATCTGAGCACACCACGTGGGCCTGGATCTCATTTACTGTATACTTCAGCCATGCTTTGCTGTTTTTTTTTTATACTGGTTTTGGCCTTTTGAAACTCCACAAGGAGTTGGCCATCTTTTCAGAAGTTTTAATTGGGCCATGTGCATAAAAGTTTAGCCAATCCCCATTGAACCTCTTCATAATGAAATGGGTCCTATTAACACCTATGCATTTTTCAACAAATTAAAGCCAAATTCCAGACAGTTATACAACACATAAATGAAAGACGTTTTGTATTCTTTAAAGTGGTAGTAAACTGTATTTTTATTTTACCCTACAGGTAAGCTTATAATAAAGCTTACCTGCAGGTTAAATGAATATCTTCTAAACGTGCACTGCTTAGGAGACATTCTATGAAGCAGCAGCCGGTGACATCACTGGTGCATGCGTTCTGAAGAAGCTGCATACCAGTGCTGTTACTTCAGAGCTCTGCTGCGACAGTGACTCCCATGCACATGCGTGGGAATGACGTCGTCAAGACTTGGCCATTCTCCTAGATTGTAAGCTCGAAAGAGCAGGGCCCTCGAACCCCTCCTGTAGTGTATTGTTACTGTCTTGTCTCATGTTCTGTCCCCCTTGCTACTGTACAGCACTGAGCATTCCCTTTGGCGCTATATAAATACTGTATAATAATAATAATTCAAGCAGCCATAGGCTGCAAACCTGGAAGGTAGACGGGGTGTAGCAGCAACAACGCAGTGCTGAACGGCTTCGTTAGTATGCGATGCATACTAGCACATTATGCCTTTATCTTGCAGGGTTTTTTTTCACCTTTACTACTGCTTTAATGCATCATTAAATATTTATGTAATTATATACACAATATTGCCAAAAGTATTGGGACACCTGTCCAAATCATTGGATTCAGGTGTTCCAATCACCTCTATGGCCACAGTTGTATAAAATCAAGCACTTAGGCATGCAGACTGCTTCTACAAACATTTGTGAAAGAATGGGTCGCTCTCAGGAGCTCAGTGACTCCAAGCGTGGTACCGTGATAGGTTGCCACCTGTGCAATAAGTGCATCCGTGATATTTCCTTGCTACTAAATATTCCACGCTCAACTATTAGTGGTATCATAACAAAGTGGAAGCAACTGGGAACAACAGCAACTCAGCCACCAAGTGGTAGGCCACATAAAATAAAAGAGTGGAGTCAGCGCATGCTGAAGCGCACAGTGCACAGAAGTTGCCAATTGTCTGCAGAGTCAATAGCTAAAGACTTCTAAACTTCATCTGTCCTTTAGATTAGCACAACAACAGTGTGTAGAGAGCTTCATGAAATGGGTTTCCATGGCTGAGCAGCTGCATCTAAGCCTTACATCACCAACTGCAATGCATTGAATGCAATGGTGTAAAGCACGCCGCCACTCCAGAGACGTGTTCTCTGGAGTGATGAATCACGCTTCGCTGTCTGGCAATCCGATGGACGTGTCTGGCTTTGGCAGTTGCTAGGAGAACGATATTTGCCTGACTGCATTGTGCCAAGTGTAAAATTTGGAGGAGGGGGGATTATGGTGTGGGGTTGTTTTTCAGGGGTGGGGCTTGGCCCTTAGTTTCAGTGAAGGGAAATCTTAAGGTGTCAGCATACCAAGACATTTTGGACAATTTCATGCCTCCAACTTTGTGGGAACAGTTTTAGGATGGCCCCTTCCTGTTCCAACATGACTGTGCCCCAGTGCACAAAGCAAGGTCCATAAAGACATGCATGAGTGAGTTTGGGGTGGAGGAACTTGACTGGCCTGCACAGAGTCCTGACCTCAACATGGTAGAACACCTTTGGGATGAATTGGAGTTGAGACTGCGAGCCAGGCCTTCTCGTCCGACGTCAGTGCCTGACCACACAAATACACTTCTGGAAGAATGGTCAAACATTCCCATAGACACACTCCTAAACCTTATGGACATCCTTCCCAGAAGAGTTGAAGCTGTTATAGCTGCAAATGGTGGGCCAACTCAGTATTGAACCCAACGGACTAAGACTGGGATGCCATTAAAGTTCAGGTGCATGTAAAGGAAGGAGTCCCAATACTTTGGGCAAAATAGTGTATGTGTGTTTTTTCTTTTATTCAAGAAGTGTAAGTACCTGAATTCGACTTATTACCCTCTTCCTTGGGGGCCCCCAAGTGATTCCCCTGATTGCAGGAATTTCCTCTCACTTCCTGTTTTGGATATGGGACAGGTAGTAAAGATAAATCTCCCCAATGGGACATGGATCACAAAAAAGAAAATCTGATGGGTTAGTACCATCCCTTACTCTGTCCAAAATGAAAAAAAAGTTTTGCCTTATAGTTCTACTGTAACCGCTTGACGCCGACGTCACACAAATATGTGGCCTCACAGAACTAGGCTTTTTTCCGTGGGGCCACATATTTGCGTACCTGTGTTTGTGCTGGGAGTGCACCGCACAGCAAGCTCCCAGCACACAGACACTGAGAGTCCCGAGTCCCATTCTAACATTCAGGATGCAGGACTCCCGATTCCAGGTTACATGATCGCTGTGATAACCTCTTATTGGTGATCACAGTGATCAGTCACTGTACAGCCCGGCCCCTTGTCTTTTTTCTCTTTCTCTGAATGGAGAAAAAGAGAGATACATTACATCTCTCTAACTCCTAGCATAGAGAGGGAAAAAAATATTTGTTAAAAAAAAAAAAAAAGAAAGAAAAGATAAATATTTAAAAAATAAAGAAAAAATACCTAAATCAAGGTTTGATCTAGTTCAGTGCCAGGGTAAGTGTTTGGGTCAAGGTTAACAGGTCAGGGTCAAAGGTAATTTTTTTTCTTTTAATTGGTATTGGTGTTAGTGTCAGTGTGTTTTAGGTAAAAAAAAAACAAAAAAAAAAAACAAAATGCGCACTATTGTTTCTGGGCAGTACTACGGGTACAAACAACAAATAACATACACATATATGGTATTGCTGCGATCGTCAAGAGCTGGAAAATGTATTTTGGGTTTTTCTTTAGTAGGTTATGGTAGTAACAAGAAACACACAGCTAAATTTCAATAAATTATTTTTTTTTTACTATTCTGGGCCAGTATTCCTTTGATAATAAACACATCAGGAGATATCCATTACCATTTACCACCAAATGAAAGCCCAATTTGTCCTGAATAAAAACGCGGTATAATTCACCTGGATGTACAAAGTAGTTGTGACGATATGGACAATTTTACTAACACATTACAACGTTGTAAATTTGTGCTTAGACATTAAGGTTTGTTTTATCCTTTAGGCGTGAAGGGGTTAAGCATTAATTTTCAGTATTGACTCACACAAACCTCTAATCTTCCCAAGGGGGATAGAGTCATCACAGTCAGGGAGCAATTATTAAAATAAATATCATTAGAGCTTTTTAGAAGCAAACAAAAAAGTAATGTGAGTGAAACAGCAAAGAGTATAAAGGGGAAGTAGAGAAATTGTTCAAATTAAGGAAAATCTAGGCAGAGCTGTAAATAAGCATTGGTAAGCAGCACAGCAGGAAAAAGAGATATCAGACAAATAAGAAGCGGTGAGGTACTGAGCAGAGTTTTATAAAGGAACCTTGTTAAAATTGTAAGGTGTAAAAAGACTATTTTGCCTGGTAGGAGGCACCATTGCTTTTGTATTGCTCATACTGTGTTGCCATTACTTTGGCATGTTTCACATTGGCGGTGGTTAACTAATCTGGTGCAGCTCTGCATAGAAACCAATCAACTTCCAGGTTTTATTATCAAGGCTTAATTGAACAAGCTGAAGTTAGAAACTGATTGGCTACCACGCACAGATGCACCAGATTCTGAGTGCTCCAGTTTAAGTAAATCTCTCCCTGTGTCGTTGTCTAAACACTTGGTCCATAGACCACAGGACTTTAAGTGCCGGTTCACATGTATGCAGATTGATGCGGTTTGAACCGCGGTGAATATGTGGTGAAATAACATTGCTTCCTATGGTGCTTGTTCACATATGTTTGGTGCACCGGTGGTGCAGATTCAGTGCGGTTTGAAAAAGAGTCCTGTATGATTTCTGAGAAGTACGATCCGGTTCAGGTTTGGATTACAGGCTATTGACTTCTGTGGGAACCGTTTCTAAACCACATGTGTGAACAGCACAAAATCCTGAGCTAATCCTATCCTGAACTTGATCTAAACCTGACATGAACCGCTGAACAACTACTGTATCAATTATATGTGAAACCTGAGCTTCAATCCGCATTACACATGTGAGAATCCACTCTAAGGCTGAACTTTAGCTACATTCGGGAAGATATTTAAAAAAAAAAACCCCATGAATGCAGTTATGTGTTTATTAAAAAGAATTATTGAAGTGGCATTGTCTCGCCAAGAAAATCTTAACAGCCGGTCACTGTTAAAGTGCATCCCTCTTTGGTTGTCCATAAAGATTCCTCCATCCACACAAGTCAGATGGATAAATCCCCCGTCAGGATATTGTATTCTGACAGTAGGACTGCTGCCAAAATATCATCGGTTGCAGCCACTGTTGGATAGAAGTTTTCCAACTTGTCTATTCAACAGAAGTCAATCAGGGATAGCCACACACAAGCTGAAATTTGAGGAGTCCCTGCTAAACCCATCAAATTTGGACCTGTCTGTGGCCAGCTTATAACAGGTTTATACAAAGAGGCAGAGAAAGGCTATTATCACTTTTCAAATATTTAGTTTTCTCATGTTTCGAGGGGGGAACACTATTTTACAGATGATTTGCAGTTGCGACAGGTGTAGATATGTTTGTATTGCCAAACTGTATTAACTTACATACATTAAAACATATTGTGCCTTGATCAGAACGTTTTTTTTTTTCTTTTTGTTGTTTATCAAGGTCTGGAATTAAGCAGTCAAGTTAAGGGGTGCCTAGTAACCTCCTCTGCAGACAGACATGTGAAGATATGGGATGTTTTGCTGGACAAACCAAGCTTAGTTCATTCCAGGAATATGAAAATGGTAAGTGATAGGCTGAACTGGTACAGCTATGCATCCGCCTCCTGGTGACATTTTCTGGTCCTTTTACTCCTGGCTTTCTGTGTGCAAATGACAACACGATGTCTGCAGTGGGTGTGTTAGTGAATTCAGTTCTACTTCAAGCAGATGAGCTGTTAGTTGGTTTGCTCAGCAGCTAAAATAGTTTATATTCTAATAACAGCGTCCAGTATTGGAACAAAAATTTGAGCTACTTGGAATATCTACATGGCAAGAGCCTTCAAGATCTATAGTGTGGTCAGGAGCTAGGGACACTGGTGTAGCCATTGAGTGATGGCATTGTCCTTGTTATAATGCTTGTTCTTATTTAAAGAGACTTTGACCCATTCAGGCCCATTCCCTGATCCACTTATACTCACCTATGCCTGACTCCACCATTAAATTGCAGCATCAGAGCCACCACAAAATACCTGATGCTTATGTGTATAGGGTAGCATGTTGTGTTTTTCTACCTTGCAGTGAGTTAGTGGGTGGGCTAATAAGATTCTCAATGTCTGAAATGGGCAAAATGACAAGATCTCAAGTTCAACCACCTGATCCTATCGGGGTTTACCAAAACTGGTGCCCCCCAATTCACTATCAGGTGGGCTGCCATCCAGGCGTCTTCCAGATCTGTTGATTCCGAAGCAGTCTCAGTCTCTTTTGACACTATATACCCACCTGTGGTGATGGAGACTTCAGAGTACCAACAACAAGTGAAGCTTTAAAGTGGTGGTAAACTTCAGACATGAACAAAACACATATTTATATAGTGTTTACTTGCCTCTTTCTAAAGCATGAGTCTGAGTTTTTTCTGCTGTCTTGTTCCTCTGCTGTCAGCATGAGTCACTTTTGGCAAGTTTTCTAGACACCAAGAGAAACAGGGCGACAGGAGAGGGAGCTCCAGCACACAGCTTGTGATTGACAGCCTCAACTCTAGGTGTGTCCCTTCCCTCCAATCAGCTTGCAGGGTTCATTTACAGTGTGTAACTACACCTCCCCGCCCCCCTGCTTTGTAGTCTGTTAAAAAAAAATTTTCATCTCTGAGTTTTCACGGATGTTCAGGACAAAATACTGGAAATTAACAGGTACAACTTATGTAGGAGGATTTAAGTTCTTTGTCTCATTAGAGGCCAGTCACTTCACTGGGTATATTGTATGTATAGGTTTACAACCACTTTAAGAGTTTGTTCTAAAGTTACCCTTTCTTCTTCATTAGGGTGTATTATTCTGCACGGCCTGCTGCCCTGACCTTCCCTTTCACTATGCTTTTGGAGGCCAGAAGGATGGGCTGAGAGTGTGGGACATTAGCAGTATTGCTGCCGGTGAGTACACAACCTAATAACTGTTTCCAAAGTGCAATTTTATTTCAAAGAAAGTCCCCATTTAGTCATTTTCAAATGTTCCTACTTTTGCTGAAATTGAGTGTCATAGGTTGTGATGTAAAACACAGTGTGAATATCGCTGTCCACTGGACACCGCAGTATATTAATAAGTAAATTATAAAATGCAGCCATTGGTGTGGAATCTGCAGTATCCCAT